ACTAAACATATATTAATTGATGATAAATGACATAGTAACTGATGTTGACCATGTAGTACCTAGCATTAAACGTGTGGTATCTGTAACATGTACTAATTGATGATAAATGACATAGTAACTGATGTTGACCATGTAGTATCTAGCATTAAACGTGTGATATCTGACTTTTAACAGATAACATCTGATACTGAATATGTAGTAACTGAAAAAAACTATATACAGCAACTGATGTTCAGTATGGTGTAACTGATACTAAACGTGTAAAAAATGACACTTACCAAAATACTTGTCACTATGTAGGTTTTGTTTTCAAATCCCGTGTCCTGTTTTACCCTTCGGTACACAGGCGAGCACAACCTTAGACCGTGTGTATCACGCCACTCTGCTATCTGCGGAGAATGTGTCAGAAACTTAAGGGTTAAAGCTAAATATAGTCATATTGTTTAAAACTTCAGATTTGGATTATAAGACACACTTTATACAAGTCTATCTAACCCTTGACCTGTAACAAGATCAGAATAACAGTGATATCATCGTTATTATCTGAAGAATTACAATGTTACATAACTTGAACTAAAGTATAAGAGAATAGTCTTAGAAATGTATTTGTTATGGTGTAGTAATAAAAGAAACACTGTGGTTGTTATCCTGTACTTGTATATTAACTGTAATAACGTAGCTTAGAAACCATGATGACAATAATATACTCATCACTATAACGACAACCAACGCAGATAAACAGTTGAGCTACACTTTATATAGAACAATGTGGTTACTAAACAATAATAAACTCCTTACTACAACCAACACAGATAAACAGTTGAGCTACACTTTATATAGAACAATGTGGTTACTAAACAGTAATAAACTCCTTACTACAACCAACACAGATAGATAGTTGAGCTACACTTTATATAGAACAATGTGGTTACTAAACAATAATACACTCCTTACTACAACCAACACAGATAAACTTTAGTAACCACATTGTTCTATATAAAGTGTAGCTCAACTATTTATCTGTGTTGGTTGTAGTAAGGAGTTTATTATTGTTTAGTAACCACATTGTTCTATATAAAGTGTAGCTCAACTATCTATCTGTGTTGGTTGTAGTAAGGAGTGTATTATTGTTTAGTAACCACATTGTTCTATATAAAGTGTAGCTTACCTATCTATCTGTGTTGGTTGTAGTAAGGAGTTTATTATTGTTTAGTAACCACATTGTTCTATATAAAGTGTAGCTCAACTCAATAATAAACTCCTTACTACAACCAACACAGATAAATAGTTGAGCTACACTTTATATAGAACAATGTGGTTACTAAACAATAATAAACTCCTTACTACAACCAACACAGATAAACAGTTGAGCTACACTTTATATAGAACAATGTGGTTACTAAACTATAATAAACTCTTTACTACTACCAACACAGATAAATAGTTGAGCTACACTTGATATAGAACAATGTGGTTACTAAACAATAATAAACTCCTTACTACAACCAACACAGATAGATAGTTGAGCTACACTTGATATAGAACAATGTGGTTACTAAACAATAATACACTCCTTACTACAACCAACACAGATAGATAGGTGTGTTAGTCATCTGGATGTTAGTTGTTATATTTTACACAAGTCTTCACAACATACCTACCTTGGCCATCTCGCTGTTAACTGTCATCTCCACAATATCAATTGTGAAATTGGTTCTAGATCCTCTGTTATCAAATGTAATATTTCCTGTTAGGCCTACTATTTTCGTCTGTAAAAATGAATGAATATACAAATAAGTTACGTTACCTAAGGAAACAGTTATTTTTTTCTAACAACTGAGGATAGGGTTCTCACGACTTGCGACATTAAATTTATCATTTTACAGGATGTAGAACTCAGTATGTCCACCAGTTAATACTACTTCCGATGTTATACTTCCACCATTCTACAGGGTGTAGAACTCAGTATGTCCACCAGTAATATTATTTTCCACGTTATACTTCCATCATTCTATAGGATGTATAACTCAGTATGTCCACCAGTAATATTACTTCCCACGTTATACTTCTATCATTCTACAGGATGTATAACTCAGTATGTCCACCAGTTAATATTACTTCCGACGTTATACTTCCACCATTCTATAGGATGTATAACTCAGTATTTCCACCAGTTAATATTACTTCCCACGTTATACTTCTATCATTCTACTATTAATAAAGTTTAGATAATTACCACAGTCTCTGAGTGTGAAGTTAGTAAAACTTTGTCCTATATACATATCAAACTGTAAAAATAAATATAAGAAGTTACTTTCCTTATTCCATTCCTAAGATATTTATACCAACCGTTTATTTACAAATTAATTTTATAGTGATTTTTTAAAGATAAAAGGACCAAAGACAAGTTAACTAAACACATTGGTTTAATCTCTCGGATTTTTTTTTCATACTTTGGGTAGTTTTTGTTCTGTTATAAGGTTGGTCATCAGCACAGTGAAACCACGTAACTAGGCCAGAGAAGATCAGTTATAAGGTTGGTCATCAGCACGGTGAAACCACGTAACTAGGCCAGAGAAGATCAGTTATAAGGTTGGTCATCAGCACAATGAAACCACGTAACTAGGCCAGATAAAATCAGTTATAATGTTGGTCGTCAGCACGGTTTGGCTGCGTTACTGTTGGAACAACTTCTTTTATTTGGGACGTCGTTAAACTCGGTATAACACTTCAAATGGCCAATATCCGATTAAGTGGGAAATCAGGAGAGGCTCATCTGTTTAAACGAGACAACTTCCTATCTTTCTCACTCCAAATGTACGTGGATATATTATAAACTCTCTTATTAGAAAGTTTTTATAAAACGTTCTAATCTAAAGGAAATATCAAACCATAACTTATGTAAGCTGTTTCTAACAAAATCATCACATTACCTCAATCCTAGCAACTTCAACATCACCCATCAACATTAATCTTGATAGACCAAGTAGACAACGTCCACATATTAATATGTCTTGTCGGGTTTAAAAAAAAACATCTAAGTTTATAAATATCAAAATGCCTTAGAGAGCAGATCATGGTGTAAAGACAGAGCTTTTATACTGAGGCTGGTAAGATCCACCAGTGAGCACTTAGAAGAGAATCTCGTGAAATACCTAGCTTTCTAAACGAATCAGCTGACAAAGAAAACTTTAATATAAAGCTGCCAACAGGGAATTGTTGTAATATTTACTTACCACCAAACAAAGCGAAACAAGCGGGTTTTATCATATTCAACAGAGGGTTAATATTCGTTCATGATTTCGTAAGACGTCAATAGTGAACTAATGTTCGTTCGTGATTTCGTAAGACGTCAATAGTGAACTAATGTTCGTTCATGATTTCGTAAGACGTCAATAGTGAACTAATGTTTATAGATGATTTCGTAAGACGTCAATAGTGAACTAATGTTTGTAGATGATTTCGTAAGACGTCAATAGTGGGTTATTGTTTATCTGTGATTTTTTAAGAAGTATTAGTTGTCTGAGATAGGACAACAGTAGTTTAAACAGTATTAGTTGTCTGATATGGCACAACAGTAGTTTAAACAGTATTAGTTGTCTGATATGGGACAACAGTAGTAGTTTTGAAACTATGTTCCTAAGTTCGTGAATCCAACTCATTTGTAACAAATAAAGCCACGAACTATTGTAAATATTATTCGTTCTTGCTTTTCTATCCAATTCATACACTCTGTCGTTCAATCCATACACTCTGTTGTCCAATCCATACACTCTGTTGTCCAATCCATACACTCTGTCGTTCAATCCATACACTCTGTCGTTCAATCCATACACTCTGTCGTTTAGCTAACTTCACACCATATTTACGATATTATCAACAATATGTTCGATAGATACAGGTGAAACAACAATTCTCAAAGCTATTTACGACAGTTATAGTTGGTATTGGGTGTTTCTTAGCTGACATGTTAATTACTAGCTCTATAATAAAGTGACGTGTTTGTGATACTTTTCTTAATTGTTCGAAGATACGTTTTCCGTGCTCCCACGGCATGAGAGGAGCTCTATTGCAGAGAATGCCCTTAGTGCCGTTGTTGTAAACCTTTCCCCGTCGAAAGTTGTTCCTGAAGATGTCAGGATCAGCGGCGAGGAGGCGGTCGAACGTATTGAGAATCACTTTCACTCCATCATAGAGTAATGCGATCTCGGTCTAACGATAGAAAGAAAGTAGGAGAAATCACAACCGATCAAAATGATATTGACGTTTAGAAAGTTTTATATTTATACAATAGAACTACACTATATAATATATGTACACATCGTGTTACTATGGGCTTCAACAATAGAACTACACTATATAATATATGTACACATTGTGTTACTGTGGGCTTCAACAATAGAACTACACTATATAATATATGTACACATTGTGTTACTGTGGGCTTCAACAATAGAACTACACTATATAATATATGTACACATTGTGTTACTGTGAACTTCAACAATAGAACTAC